GCACCGCCACTCCGGCTCCTCCCTCAGCTCCGGCGTGTACAGCACGGGCGGCAGCGACCAGCGCTCCTCCTACTCCTCCTCCGTGGGCGAGGACAACCCGCCGCCGTCGCCCAGGAGCCCCGCCAAGGGTGAGTCCCGACGCCTGGTCTGCAGCCCCTCCTCCGGGCAGGACCAGCTGCGTTTGTTTGCCTCGTTTGCCCTCAGGTCATGCCTGCTTCTCTCTCAGCCTCTCCCTCGCCCTCACGGCCCTCCTCGTCCTCGCTCGCCTCTCCCTCTGCCTGCCTTCTGCGCGGGAGGGCACCTGCGGCCACGGGTTCGCTGGCCTCTGCTTCCTCGGTCTCTTCCTTTTCCTTGTCGGCTTTCCTTTTTCTTCTCCTCCTCCTCTCCCACCTCTTCCTCCTCCTCCTCTTCCTCTTCCTCATCCTCTTCCTCTTCTTCCTCCTTCTCTTCCTTCTCCTGCTCCTCCTCCTCCTCCCTTTCTCCTCCTCCCACTCCCCTCTTTCCTCCTCCCTTTCCTCCTCCTCCCTTCCTCCTCCCCCTCCCCCTCCCCCTCCACCCTTCCTCCTCCCTCCCTTCCTCCTCTTCCTCCTCCTCCTCCTCCTCCTCCTCCCGTTCCTCTTCCTCCTCCTCCCTGTCTCTTCCTTTTCCTTGTCTTTCCTTTTTCTTCTCCTCCTTTCCCACCTCTTCCTCTCCTCCTCCACCTCTTCTTCCTCCTCTTCCTCTTCTTCCTCCTTTTCTTCCTTCTCCTTCTCCCTTTCTCCTCCTCCTCCTCCTCCTCCCCTTCCTTCTCCTCCCATTCCTCCCTCTCTCCTTTCTTCCTCCCCTTCCTCCCATTCCTCCTCCTCCTCCTCCTCCTCCTCCTCCTCCCTTTCTCCTCCTTTCCTCCTCCTCCCCCTCCCCCCTTCCTCCTCCTCCCTCTCCCCCTCTCCTCCCCTTCCTCCTCCTCCCTTTCCTCCTCCTCCTCCTCCTCCTCCTCCCTTCCCCCTCCTCTTCCTCCTCCTCCCCTTCCTCCTCCCTTTCCTACTCCTCCCCCTCCTCCCCTTCCTCCTCCTCCCCCTCCTCCTTTCCTCCTCCTCCCCTTCCTCCTCCTCTTTTTCCTCCTCCTACTCCTCCCAACCTCTTCCTCCTCCTCCCCCTCCCCCTTTCCTCCTCCTCCCTTTCCTCCTCTTCCTCCTCCTCCTCCTCCTCCTCCCCTTCCTCCCTCTCCTCCTCCTCCTCCCCTCTTTCTCCTCCTCCCTTTCCTCCTCATCCTCCCCCTCCCCCCTTTCTCCTCCCTTTCCTCCCTTCCTCCTCCTGCCTTTCCTCCTCCTCCCTTCCTCCTCCTCCTCCCCTTCTCCCATTCTTCCCTTCCTCTTCTAACTCCCCTTCTTCCTCCTCCCCTTCTCCCTCCCCCTCCCCTTGTTCCCTCCCCCTCCCCTTCTCCCTCCCCCTCCCCTTGTTCCCTCCCCCTCCCCTTCTTCCTCCTCCCCCTCTCCCTCCCCCTCCCCTTCTCCCTCCCCCTCCCCCTCCTCCCTCCTCCCTCCCGCACTTATCCCCACCCCCGCCGCCCAACGCGCGTCCCTCCCCTGGCCTCGCGCGTGGCATGCGAGTGCCCGGCGGCACAAGGACCAGTTCATGGCATTCCCGTGTCAGGGAATCTAAGGTTTCCTCTTCCGGGTCAAAAGCACTTCATTGCAAATGTATCGGTTTTCGGGCCACCTGCGCTTATTGGGAGCCGGCTGCGTCCACAGGGATTGGGTCTGTTCGCGGCCCTCTTACCAGGTGACGTATTACACGGAGTTGGGCGGCGGGAAACAGCTCAGAAATTGGCCGAGCGGAGGGGGGGGGGGCAGAGCGGACCAACAGCAGGTCCGTTTGTACCTTCGCTTCGTTTCTTGCTATTTAAGTAAAAATGCAAGTTGGTGCAACACCGGACGACGTAAAATAAGGCTCCGATGCTTTGGTCACGCGAGTCAAGCCTTCTGCAACCTTTGCTGGTCTGGCTGAAGAAACACGCCCGTGGGTTCTCTTGCAAAGGAAGATGGGCGTCATTGTTCCGGGAGTAAGTGGCAGGCCGTGGCAGACGACGCCTCAAGCTGAGAAAACAAACGGATTCAAGTCTTTCCCGCGATTCTGTTAAAAAATATCGCCGGCTTAGCATCATGAAACCGGCCGCAGCGCCTTATACGAAGCACACGCAAGGCAAAGGCAGCATCGCTTGCTACAAGACGTCTGCAGCGCCGCTTGTGAGACTCTTGTTGACTCATTAACCTGGCGTCGTGTGGACTCCGCCGACGGCCATGTGGACTGGGTTTGCGGGTCTTTGCCTCGGCGACAGTTTTATGCAACGCAGTGTTGAGATGAAGCAGTTGGTGTTGTACACAAGGCTGGTGTTGTTTACACACTGAGGATGACCAGGATCCCACGGGTCACTACCTCCTCCTCCTCCTCCTCCTCCTCCTCCTCCTCCAATTCTTTTTCCTCTTTCTCCTCCTCCTCCCCATCATCATCATCATTATCACATGTTCTCCTCAATGGCATCCTCCTAGTTGATTGAAATGTCCAGAATCAAAATTGGTCCTCCATATCCCCTTCTACCTTGGCCTCCACCTCCCACTCCCTCTCCCCCTCCCCCTCCCTCTCCCTCTCCCTCTCTCTCCCCCTCTCTCTCCCCCTCTCTCCTCCCTCCCCCTCTCTCCTCCCTCCCCCTCTCTCCTCCCTCCCTCTCACTCTCACTCTCCCTTTCCCTCCCTCTCCTCCCTCTCCTCCCTCCCTCTCCTCCCTCCCTCTGTCTCCCTCTTCCTCTCTCCCTCTCTCTCTCCCCCTCCCTTTCTCCCTCTCCCTCTCTCTCTCCCCCTCTCTCCTCCCTCCCTCCCCCTCTCTCCTCCCTCCCTCTCACTCTCCCTCTCCCTTTCCCTCTCTCCCTCCCTCTCCTCCCTCCCTCTGTCTTCCTCTCCCTCTCCCTCTGTCTCTCCCTCTCCCTCTCTCTCTCCCTCTCTCTCTCTCTCTCTCTCTCTCTCTCTCTCTCTCTCTCTCTCTCTCTCTCTCTCTCCTCTCTCTCTCTCCCCCCTCCCTCTCCCCCTCCCTCTCCCCCCTCCCTCTCCCCCCTCCCTCTCCCCCTCCCTCTCCCCCCTCTGCACGCCGCCAGCCTTCCTCTGGCCGGGGTCTGGCTTGCGTTCCTGCCATGTCGAGGGCTCGCGTTTGTGATCTTTAGCGTGCCCTTGCGCGGCGTGTAAGCGGGGCTTGCTTACGGCAGCGTTTGAGGAGAGTGTTGTGTGTTTGGTTATTTTCCTTCGCGTGGGCGTGTTTATTTCGCACGTCGCACGGGCGTCGGCGAGGGCGGAGGGCGGCCCGCTCTGTTGCCAAGAGAAGCGCGCGCAGAATGTGGATTCGCAGAGGTCTGGGCGAGGGGGGAGAGGGGCAGAGAGAGCAGGAGAGGGGCGCACGACCCGCACCCGCATGTTCGCCCTGACACAGCGGCGTTGTATCCGATTCGCTGCGGGCGGCGCGCGATGCCCGCACCGGGCCGGACGGCGCGACGCTGTGCCGAAAGGGTAAGTAGAGTGACCGAGCTGACTCATGCGAGGCAGGGCTGGGCCTCCGCCGCCGACCTCCCGCCCTCCGTGCCCTCCTCTCCGCTTCCTTTTCTTCCTCTTCGTGGCCGCGCGCACTCCTGGACTTGGGCTGCTGGCTTCTCTGGTATCCATATTTTTTTTCTATCTTTACGTGGCCTCCGGGGCGTAGGTTTGAGTTGGGGCATCGCCACCTGCGGGATGAGGCTGCCTGCAAGCAGATGGGCTGCCTGCTCGTCGCAAGCGCTTGGCCCGCGGCTGCTTTGAATCCTGATTAACGTGGCTGAAAATCCTTCCTGAAAGAGGGGGGGGGGGTCGGGTTTTAATCTCTCAACCAAGAGGCTCTACCTAGGGTGGTGATGGGCGTCAGTAATTTCGCAAGGCAATATTTGCAGATTAAATATTAGCGCTTGAATTGGCGAAGATTGTTGTTTGAAATATAGATTGACTTTTGAATGGATAGAGCTTGTCAGACTTTCTCACCAATAGTTCAAACAGCGTATATTATGTAAGAACCTAATTAACTCATGAGTATATATACATACTCGTGAGTGTAAATGCTGTATGCGCATGTGTATAGGCGCACATACGCGCACACGCACACGCACGCATATGTATCCGTACACGCACGCATACGTATACGTACATGCACACACACACTCACACTCACACTCAACGTACACTCTCTCTCTCTCTCTCTCTCTCTCTCTCTCTCTCTCTCTCTCTCTCTCTCTCTCTCTCTCTCTCTCTCTCTCTCTCTCTCTCTCTCTCTCTCTAAACTCCCTCCCCTCTCACCCTCTCCCTCTCCCTCTCCCTCACCCTCTCTCCCTCTCCCTGCCTCCTCTTCCGTCTCTTTCCATCCGTGAGATTCTCTCCCCCCTTCCGCGCCTGCGCCGGCTTGCGTCCCGCGACGGTCGTTCTGCCTTCGTCGGGGTCGTTGGCTCAAGGGACGACCGATGCGTCTCTCTCGAGGCTTCTCATTGTGAGTCATGGAAACGTCAGTTGTCGCTTCTCGTGTTGCACCAACTATGCAAATGTGCATAACTGATCGAGGGTCTATTTATACAGCATATCTCGTCACCCGGCCGTCCAGCCATGCTCCGCGGCGGCACACGGGCGCGTCGCTTCGGCTGCTCGCTGCGCGTCACATCTACTTTGGGAAAGCTAGATAGGCGAGTAATGTCTTGCTGTAAGACTTCACGAGGAGGAGTAAAAAATGAAATGTTAATTCTTTTGATTTATTCTCTTTCTCTCTCTCTCTCTCTCTCTCTCTCTCTCTCTCTCTCTCTCTCTCTCTCTCTCTCTCTCTCTCTCTCTCTCTCTCTCTCTCTCTCTCTCTCCCCCTCTCCCTCTCCCTCTCCCTCTCCCTCTCCTCTCCCTCCCCCGAGAGAGCGGGTAACGGTGTGCAAGGTGGCCCTGCCCCCTCCTTATGACTCCCCCCCCCCCCTCCATCACAGCTGCCTCGTGTGGGTCCGTCGCGTGCACTTGCATCCGCGCATTCTTCTTCTTCTTCTTACTATTATTTTTTTGTTATTGCTGTTATTGTTATTATTTATTGATATTTATATGCTATAATTGGTAGTATCAGTACCCTTTTCATTGCCATTATCATTATGGCAACAATGATAAGGGCAATTATTATTTTTGTTATTATTATTTTTTTTTTTATTGTTATTATTATTATTATTACTGTAATTATTATTATCATCATTATTGATATTATTATTATTTTTATTATTATTATTATTATTATTGTTATTATTATTATTTTTATTATTTTTATTATTATTATTATTATTATTATTATTATTACCACAGCATAATTATTAGTATTTTTTATTAATATTATTATTATTATTATATTATTGAAATATTCACGAGGCGTCTGTGCGAAGGCGACCCTCCCGCGCGCGAGGGTCAGGGTCAGCCTGGCAGCCCGCGTGGCGCGTGAGCCTCGGTTCCATTCCCAGCAGCACTTCCTTGGGCCTCGACGCGGCGCTTGGCCTCGCGCGCGCCAAGGGCTCGGTCACACGAGCCGAGGGACGATGTTGATGCTCGCCCCCGCACGCCGTGAGTGGCCCTCATGGCGGCCTGGCAACCGAGACTCCTCCGCGGTCATGGGCGCACCTGCGTCGGGGCCGCGTGACCGCACTGCCGCTTTTAACCGCCCACGTCATCGCACCCGCCCGCCATGGAATTAATTCGCGACACAGATTGTGTAGGGGGACGGGAGAGGAAGGAGAAGATAAATGAGAAAAGAGGAGGAGGAGGAGGAGAGCGGGCCGTGTTCCCACTCCCAGGTGATGGTCCGTCGGTCATCATGGATGTTGTTTAGAGGAGTTCTGTTTCTATCCACCTCTCGGTTCGCCCAGAGCTCGAGGCGGTCCTGCAGAGACGCGATGCTCGCATCCTGGGACTGGGAGGCTTGTCATGCTTCTCACGCGTTGTTGGTTGATTAAGTGTTAATGAAGAGTTTTATAGCCTGGCATTTGAGTGACTCGGGAATCAGGTTTGGCATGCTGTTGCAGTGAATTGCCTTCGTCTTTGGGAATTCGTCTGGCCAAGATATTTCTGTGGAGTTCAGAAGCCGCCGCGGACTCTTCCAGCATTTTGGAAAAGTCCTTGTGATATCTCAGGACTTGGTGGCCGCGGCTGTGTGGCATTTCCTGAGTGTGCCTCCTGGGTTTCTAGAAGGCGTTTGTCGTCATGGCCCGACTATTTCCACGCTGTCCCACTCCCAGGGTCGCTTTGGAATGCGGGAGCTGGTCTTCGCTCCAAAGTTGCGGCCGTGATCCAGAAAGCCTTACGGAGGCATTTTACGAAAGCCTCGAGCCAGTCACCCGACCTGAGGAAGAAGGTTTCGTGGGCACGCACAGCAGCGATAGCGAATTTTTCGTGTTGCACAATGAAGGAAGTCTTCCACCTGAGCGCTGCTTTGTTGGGTTAATTCCTCGCCATGGCCTTGAGCGTGGCCAGGAAAGCAGCAGGTCTTAATGCCAAAGAGACGCCGAGGGGATGGCATTCTATGGGAACGGACTTGGTTCCACCAAGATGCAGGACTTCTTTCAAGGACAGCGTATGTAATCAAATTCTGGCGTAATTCCTGTACCTATGCATTCCGAAAGACTCGTAATGGAGAGAAATACATTAGGCGAATTGATCTCTAATCTTCTCCCTCTACAAGTTAGCTTGGAGGCGAGGTCGTGGCTGGCAGACGAGCACAATGCTCGCTGCTTCGCGCCCGTCCACTCGAGTCGGCCATTGTGTGAAGATGTGCGCATGTCTGGTCCAGAGGAGGCCGAGGGACAGGGGCTACCAGAAGGCCCCGTCCGCGGACCTGCGGCCGGGGAAGACGAGGCCGAACAGCCAGGGGCTCTCGCTCGGTCGTGGCGCTCGCGGGCCAACGACTCGCGCGAGGAGGGCGAAGCGGGAGGGAGAAGGACGCGGTTCATGAGGAGGCGACGAGTGAGAGGACGCGGGAATGGGAATGGGAATGTAGTGCATTTCATTTTATACATTGGAGTGAGTATGTTAGGGTACGTTTGATTGTTTGAGAGCGCGTGTATGTGAGCAATTGAGTCTGGGCGTGGATGTCGTTGAGTGATTGAGCATGATTGTGTGATAGAAAATTGATTGTGAGGGGTTGAGTATGAGAGCAAGTGATAGAACCCAAGAGTAAGTGATGAGTGTGATAGTGAGTAGACGTATGCGATTATGAATGATTGATTATGAACGTGAATAATCAAATGTGATTGTTGGTGATTGAGTATGAGTGAGAGAGAGAGAGAGAGAGAGAGAGAGAGAGAGAGAGAGAGAGAGAGAGAGAGAGAGAGAGAGAGAGAGAGAGAGAGAGAGAGAGGAGTGGCTGAGGCAGTATGTGCATTTTGTGCTCACATGCGGTTGTACATTTGGCTGTATGAATTGTCTTGCTTCATACTAAAGAGAGCAT